GACTAAATCGGCGGCGATTGAGTGGACACACTAGGCGATTTCACCGGCGATTTAGTCGCCCGATTTAGTCGCCCGATTTAATCGCCTAGTGTGCCCGGCGCACCTACCTGCGCCGCCTCTTCCTCCTCGATCAACCTAGATACATACCGTGTTTAAGGCAGCACCGTGTTTATGACGCTAATTTGTAATAAAAGCACTGTCGTGTACGTGCCTGTCCTGACACATATTCAACTAGTGTATTGCATAATAACAAGAGCTAATAAATACTATATTATTATTATTATTATTGTATTTATTAGCTCTTAATAATAATTAGGCACTGTACGCAAAGGTGAATGCCGTGGACGTTGACGTAACAGCCCAGGTAGAATGGAATAACCCCGATGTTTTGAAAGAACTACAGTATAGCCAGAGCATATAAATCAGTTGATTTATATGCTCTGGTATAGCGTCATATTTTCTGGTTACATTCAGGTATTGATCAGCTAGTCATTTAGTTACAGCTCATCTCTGTGATCAAGTGGCAAGTGAGAGAGAAGGGGGGGGATATAGTACTATAGGCCTATGTTGGCCCCTACATATAGAAGTGGAAAGATGTTGCTTCCTTCGATTCTCATCCTGGTGGAGCTAGCGGCAAGGAGAGAAACAGAAACTAGTAGGCCTATGTTGCTAGAATCACAGTAGGCTTTAAAGCGAGAATTTCTTATATTTTGACGAAATTTTAAAAAAGTTTTAATATTTTCTCAACCGTTTTGATGACCGTGCGCCCAGTCCCGCGGAAGTGCGCGGCTTTACCGCTCTCGGCGGTCGGGGAACAACGCATCTTAAATGCGCAACGCCATCTTATACCCGGTCTCTCTGAGATAGTTACCTTAGTATAGATTTCGAGATATGTATACCTACTATAGTCTATAAATATTTCCGTCACGTAACTATGCGCTTTTTGTGTGACTTTTTGAACATTCCATTATCGCGAATCTGAAGATATTACATGCGTTGCATATTATCAGGAGTGAATAATAATAGATCTATTATTATTCACTCTTGATAATACCATATACTTATGGTGTACGTATTAAACATTAAAAAAACATGTCATTGGCATTCGTACGTCTGTCGTCTATAGTATTCTCCGTGAATTCAATATCTCGCTAAATTCAGCTCTATGCACTGGATGTGTGTCAACTCCATTTTGGGGCAAACTTTAATTTAAGCAACATTAGGACCCCATTTTAAATAAGTTATTATGCTGTATCTCATTGGCGCATTTATTTCGCTCAATTATACTTTACGTTATGTTTTCTTTTTAAAAACAAAATGCGGTTGTTCGTTTAACGCTTTTTATAACCATCATTATTATGAAAGCATTTTAACGACACAAAAGATTCGCTTTGATTTTTCATGTGTGTGTTGGGTTAGGTGTATGTGTGTACGTGCGTGTGTGTGCGCGCGCGGAGCGTGCTTGCGTACGTGTGCGTGCGTACGTTCGTGAGTGCGTGCGTACGTGTACTCGTGCGCGCCCGTATACATGCAAATATTTGTATGTATACCAGGAGTAGATAAAGGGGAGATTTCCCTTTATCTACTCCTGATGTATACACATATGGAAAGACAGACAGAAAAGAAAATAAGAAAACAAATGTATTGCACGCATGCACGTGTTGGTTATCCAGTTTACCAGTCTATTAAAGTCGTTAAGAATCTTACACAGCCTTTACATGTATTGGTATTTGGATAACAGTGTTGTGTTGGAGAGGTGTGTACGTGATATCAGAAAAGCATACGTATATACTAACAACGGTTAACCTAGATACACACCGTGTTTAAGGCAGCACTATAATTGTTATATGACGCTAATTTGTAATAAAAGCACTGTCGTATAAGTGCTTGTCCCGACAGATATAGAGCCAGCGGGTTGCATAACAGCCGGGCCAAAGGTGACCGCCGTGGACGGTGACGTAACAGAACAGGTACGGTTGAATGAAATTACCCTCAAGAGCTAAAATAGAGGTCAAATTTCCTGGTTTCATTGTATAAAGCATTAGCCAGCTAAGAATTTGTGTTGAGCTCTCCTCTGTGAACAAGAAGCGAGAGGGAAGCGCGTGAGCGAGAAATAGAGCTAGCAGAAGAGAGAAGAAGAAAGAGAGAGAGAGAGAGAGAGAGAGAGAGAGAGGAGAGAGAGAGAGAGGGAAGAGAGGAGAGAGCTAGAGAGAGGAGAGGAGAGAGAAGATATATATATTAGAAGAGATGGAGATAGAGAGAGAGAGAGAGAGAGAAAGTCATAATCTTGTAAATGGAGTCATCACTGGGGCAAGATGTTGCGTTTTATTCTCACCCTGACGATCTGCATCAGCAACGTAAGTACGGGAATAGTGATGTTTTTACATAAGAATAGCCATCGTCCTAGACCGGTAAAACGATGAAAAAACGACTCGTCTTGTATAAGGCGAACAAGCAAGCGGTCACAAGATAATATTGTTTTATTGGAGCAATCACCCAGGGCCTAATCCAAGCCATTTTTCATACCGAATACTGGCGCCCAAATTACGACACCTAGCAAAACGCCCAAATTACAAAATTCATAAAACGCCCAAATTAAAAAAATAAATAAATAAAAATGTTTGTTTTTTAAAATAAATTAAATTTTAATATTATTATACATCTACATTCTACATTGAAAACTCGTCATTGTCTCTCGGGTGTGCCATGCGCACCTATTTGCGTGAATAACGACTGCTGAGTTTACATCAATAAATACTTCAATCAACGATGAATAATAACACGTCCCGTAGGCTTGGGGCTAGGTGTTTTGGGCTCTAGGGGATCATTCCCAGTAAATCTTAGACTGTAATGTAGGTGGCAACTTATCTACCTGATAAGATGACCACACAGATGCCCGCAACGGGCTCAGATTGCCTCGTCTAAATGCCATCATTTAGAAATAGCCTTCCAATCTGTGCTATCATCTGAGTCATACTTATACCGTGACACGTAAACAGAACGATTACCCCTCTCAGGTGAATCTCGTAGTTCTGCTAACGAGCGTAAAATACCTGTGCCCATACCTCACTATACTCTCGCTATCCGTCCCACGATTCTGTTCGTGGATTACCTCAGCGGGTCCGAGGGCGTATATCCCAGGCCCTTGCAGTAACCGGTGCGTCTATACCTAGCACCCCGACTCATTTCCTTAAGGTGGGTCCCGATTTATATGCTTGTCATGCTAATTCAGGCATTGCCTTGCGCGCTTTCCCAAATCTTCCAAGCATCAAAACGTCATTAATTAACTAATAATTAATGAGTAAATCGGTTCTGTCCCCGATTATACGCAGTTCGCTCTGGAACATTACGTTTATACTTAGGGTGACAGACTATACACCGTGAGTTGTTCTTGGCTCTATAACGTAACAGCCAACGTTACGTTGCCTTCTGCGGCAATTGAATTCATGTAACCGATGCATTCCTAACTACACAGATTCTAGTAATATTCCACGTATTTACGTATCAAATAAGGCATTCCACGACGCATTTTAGTGACTCGTAAGCCGTAAATAAAATGCTCTACCCCGCTGTCCAGATCCCTTCCCTGAAAACCCGTGCTATTGTTTCAATGGGTATATATCAGTCATATTACCCGTGTCCCGTAAACGGATAAGTAATGATAACGCAATATATATATATAAACGGTATGATGGCGGCGGTGGTGGTGGCGGTGGAGTTATAGGTCGGAAAACGCGCTTGAGTATTTCGTTAATACGTCCGCTCTCTTTGTGCGAAGCTTGTAGTTTGAAAACGATCGCTTTAACTTTAGTTACGAAATATATACATGCCGACACAAGATGTCTCACTCAAGATTGCCGACACAAGATGTACCCGTAACATATATGCTGCTGACGCGACATCTAGCGGATATCTCGCTGAGTCCAGGCTCTGGTCCAGCTTGCTCGCTAGCAGTAGGCTTCTTATCCAGCGCTATCTCAGCTGCTATATGGTCAGTTAACGAACGTAATCGCATTGTTCTCGTCATTGCTTCGTCGTCATCGCATTGTTCTCTTCTTTACCTCGTCGTGATCGTATTCTACTCTACTTGCTTCGTCGCTTTCTCGCTTCGTCGCTTCCTCGTTTCCTTGCTTCGTCAGTAGCCAGGTCGTAAAAATTCGAATGTTCTGCCCTAGATGCGCCTCTGCTGGAGCATCAATGTTCGTATGGCGAACACGCCAACACTGCATTACAAACGTTGCAATAGTTCAATAGTCGTATGTTTTCTGTATTCTTTTCGGATTCTTTCTTCCTCTTTTTTCTCTTCTGCATCGTGCTAGTTGTGTCTTCACTTAGTGTCTCGGCACGTGCATCGTGTAGCGATAGTTTCTTGCGTTGTACGTTGCGATACTCAAGTTCTTTTGGTTACAGGCGTTAAATGTAACGATGGAAGTAACCAGTTGTACTACCAGTTGGCTACTGGTGTCAATTATGCAAAGTGTTTTAGGACGCGCTTATACGCGTCGTGTCGCAAACTATAGTTCTCTACCGCGCGTGCGCTACAGTCGCTCGTAATCGACATTTCCACATTTGTGTATTAACTCTTACTCGCCTGATTTCTACATTACTACACCAGTATCAACGCGATAATCTCTTGCTGGTAGCAAAGAAATTTGTAACAACATTTATATATTGAGATTAATATGGGATCAAGCGTATTAATTTAAACGAAATACTACATAAAATCGGCTATATGCACCTTTATGTAAACACGTGCATATATGTACACGCGCAACCACGACCCCGCACGCACATAACCGCACATTAATCCTGATATAATTCTGTATAATGTTATTGTAGAAACACGTACTTCGGCCTCACTTCCAACCAGTATGACCGCCATTTCGACAAGGTTGCTAAGCATGAGCCGCGCAGCTACGATGTTGGTGACTGTAATACTGCTCACGGCTATGTAAGGGTCTACGGACAGTGCCAGAAAGGTAACGTTCCATCGAGTCAACCACTGTTTTACGTTCTTTATATTAGAAATGGAAATGCGTAAAATGTGAATGTATGCGGTTTTAGTTAAATTATTTCTACGCCAATGAATAATTGCGACTGTTAAACCACTATTTGGTATTGTTATGGTTATGTCGGAATAAGTAACAATAGGCGCGTTCACACACAAGAAAAACCGGGATGCTAATCGCGATGAAATACCGGGATAAATGTGTCGTTGTTCACACAGGCGAATAATCGCGCTAATCGCCGAGCGGGATAATTCTATTAATAGAACTGCGCATGCTCACTGCCGGAATGATGCTCACTGCGCATGCTCGCTGCTCACTCGCTTGGAATGATGGGATAGAAAATACCGGGATTATTTGCGCGAGCGTTCACACACGCAAATAATCGCGCTTATTCCAAAGCGAGCGTCGCCGATTCCAAATAATCGCAGTCAAAAGTGCGATTTGGAGCGCGATGCTGATCGCGATTATTAGTGGGTATTATTGCGTTCACACTTGTAATAATCTCGGTATTTCGATCGCGATTGCAAAACCGGGATTTGCATCCCGCTTATTCGCGCCAGTGTAACGCGCCTAATATACGTCCCTATATAATATACATTAACTTATTCTCTCTATCGATTCTTGCTGATGCTCAGCATTTCTAAAAATTAAAAATAAATAACTAATTACATTTTTTTCAAAATTATTTCACTTCAAACGTAATTTAATCATTGTGTTTAAATATCCTTACCCAAATGCCCATGGAATAATAAAATACCATTATTATATGTGGGTTCATTATATATTCGTTGTATCTTTATTCATCGTTATTCTCTTATAGTGCCAATGTTTGGAAATCCGTGTCACACGGACGACGACTGTGAACGACCAAATCACTTACGTGGAGCTGAGAGTAACAGACCTGTATGCGACCGAGCAAAGAAAGCGTGTCACATCGGTACGTCCGCTCAGATTTGTCGCTTATAACTGGTCAGTATTTTATTCATGCAGTCATACCAGTTACTTATAGCGAATTTCATCGGTGAGGCCGTGAATCAGATGATTGAGAAACGTTCAATAACGGCAAGCTTAGCCATGATTTGCATTGTACTTAATAAAAAGCTAGATTAAAAAGAAGGCCTGTTGTCAGAAAGATCGTAAATAGTTGTGTCTAGCCTTTGGTCTAAAATTTCGTAACTTCTGCACGATACTTCAGTTAAAAAATTATGACAATTCAGGTTCATAATGTAGTATCTGTTTATGATGTTTCTGACAACGGCTCAAGTTCTTTCGCCTTGATGATTTTCTGTTGTGTAAATGTGGTTGATCTCTACTAGTATGAACGAAAACTATTAGCGGAACGGAGTACATTGACGCCTTTTAAATGAACGTGGATATTTATTAGAGTATGAGTGCACATCTAATTGTATATATATATATATATATTTACTTATTTATATCGACAATTTTTTACCTTTCAGTAGAAACTCGATTTTAAATTTTTAGTGTCTATGATAAAAAGAAGGCTATAACTTCGCATTTCGTATTTAGTAAGCTCTTTTATTTACAGGAAGTGACCTCGGAGGTTTCTGCCTGAGTAACAGTGAATGCATGCTGGGTGCACTCGTTAGCGATGTCACTGTTTGTATTGGTAACGATGAGACTGTTGGTAGAGGATACCCTAGAATCTGCAACCTTTACACGCACTCTTGTGTTTGCAACTCGTATGTCACCGACCAGGAGTGCAAAGATGCAGCGCCACTCACCGTGGAATGCGTCGAATGTAAGTATAAAGCGTGAATGATTTCGATAATAAATCTAATAGAATTATGTGTACAGGTGAAACATAACTGCACTGTGTTGTATACGTGTGCAGGTGAAACATAACTGCACTGTGTTGTGTACGTGTGCAGGTGAAGACTAACTGCATTGTGATGGAGTTTAGCCCGATATTTTATTTGCTTTTGTAAGATTTCTAGTTTATTATAAGTGTTACTTTGAATAAGGACGTTTTTTGACATATTGTTATCACGTGTGTCGTACATTATCTCTACTTATGCTATCTCAATCATTATGAAAAATCGTCTTTGTGATTCGCACTGTCGTAATATTCTCCATAAAACAAATCTCGCTAAAATCTGTTCGAGGCTATGTATGCTATCGCTATTTGGTAACAACCTTTCACAATATTAGGACCATTTTAGATTATTTTCCGTGTGTTAATTGTGTATCTATTTCGATAAATTATTTTATGCTGTTCACTCTTTTTAGTCAAAATACTGTTGCTCGTTTAACACTTTTTGTAACCATCATAATTATTAAATCATTTTACACGTTACTATACATTTGCTTTGAATTTTCATGTGTGTATGTGTGTATGTGTGTGGGGGGGGGGCGTGCGCGTGTGCGTGTGTATGTGTAAGTGTGTGCGTGCGTGTGCGTAGGCGCGCGTGTGTGCGTGTATACGTGTGCGCTCTGTGCGTGCGTGCATGCACGTGTGTACGTATGCGTGCGTGTATGTGCGTGTGTGTTTGTGTTCGTTAGTACGTGCGTGCGTGTGCGCATGCGTGCGTCGATACATGCATGTGCGTATGCGTTTGCGCGTGCGTGCATATATATACTTGCGTTTGTGTGTATATCCAGAAGGAAATTTAGACATAGGAAATAAGGAAACACTTGTATTACACATACATGAGAATTATTCAACAGACTACTAGTCCTTAAGAATCTCATGCAGCTTATATATGTTGATACGTAGTTATCCGTGTTGTAATGAAGTGGTGGGTACGGGGAATAAGAAAATCACATATGTACTAGGGGGTTCGCGTAGATACACCGCGTGATTGAGTTAGCACAATGTATCAAATTAGTTTATAATAAAAGCACTGTCGTGTAAGTGCTTGTCTCGACAGATATAGAGCCGGCGGGTTGCATAATATCCAGAGAATTCGGACGAAGGGTGACCGCCGTGGAAGATGATATAAACAGCACAGGTACAATGAAATGACCCGCAAGAGCTAAAATAGAGGTCAGATTTCCTGGTTTCATCGTATAAGGTGTTGGTCAGCTAAGCATTTGAGCTCGACTCTGTGAACAAGAAGTGAGAGAGTGGGAGAGAGAGAGCTAGAGACAGAGAGAGAGAGAGACGGAGAGAGAGAAATAAAGAAAGAAAGAGAGAGAGAGTCATAATCTTGTAGATAGAGTCACCACTGTGGCAAGATGTTGCGTTTTATTCTTACCCTGACCATCTGCATCAGCAACGTAAGTACGGAAATAATGTTGTTTTTCTAACTAACAATAGCCATCGTCCTAGATAAGCATCAACGCGATAAACTCTTGCTGGTAGCAGAGAAATTTGTAACAACATTTATCGAGATCAATATGAAATCAAGCGTATTAATTTAAACAAAATACTACATAAAATCGGCTATATGCACCTTTATGTAAACACGTGCATATATGTACAGGTATATCAGCTGTCTGCAAGCGAAGGTTACGATAGCCATCCTGTGACAAATAGTGGAGATGCGGAGAGATTGCTAAGAACTAGGTATGTTGCTATAGATACAGTAGGCTAAAACATTGGGTTGCTCGTCAATGAGATATTCTGTAATCTGTATAAGTTATTATTTGTGCAGAAGATCTAATATTTAAACAACTTTGCTTTGTTCCAAATAGAAAAACATCAAACAATTAACAAACACGCGCTCATGCGTACGCACGCACGCATCGCGTATGCACATACGCACTCACACTCGCACGCACTAATATATAATGTTGATCCAACATAAGACGGTTTGTTCAATCACTTACAACGAGACCCGTTTACCAGCCAATGAACTAGGAAACACTAGCCGCTAACACTTTCTTTCCTCTTTAATTTTCAAAAGAAGATATAAATACCTGTCTATTGGGTGGGGTTTCCCGTGTCTCATCAAATTCTATGACATATCTGTGTCAGTGCGACCTTGTCTATTTCATCAAAATATATTTGATCAAATATATAAATCGATATAACGCTAACTCATTTATAACACGCTCTTAAATTTTGGTTAACTAATGCCCGAGTTAGATGCCACAGTGTGTAATAATTCCAAATGATTCCTGATGTGATTCTGTATGATGTCATTGTAGAAACACGTATTTCGGCCTCACTTCCAACCAGTATGACCGCCATTTCGACAAGGTTGCTAAGCATGAGCCGCGCGGCTACGATGTTGGTGACTGTAATACTGCTCACGGCTATGTAAGGGTCTACGGACAATGCCAGAAAGGTAACGTTCCATCGAGTCAACCACTGTTTTACGTTCTTTATATTAGAAATGGAAATGCGTAAAATGTGAATGTATGCGGTTTCAGTAATTATGTTTCGTGATTTTTGCATGAATATTAGCAGCGCTTGTTGCACCATCAATGGGTATTGTCTGAGTAAACAAAATTATACGTCCGTATATTATAATATTTACTAATTTAATCATTCATCACAGAATCTTGGTGAAGCTCAGCATTCCTGCTCACTTAAAATTAACGAGTAGTTGTCATTGTTTTAAATATTTTAAGTTATTTCAATTACCACGTGATCTAATAATTATATGTATATATCCTTCCTCAAACCGTCATGCAATAATAAAATACCATTATTATATGTGGGTTCATTATAATATTTGTTGTATCTATATTGGCGTGTTTAATTTTCTATAAGTGCCAATGTCTTGGAGATCCGTGTCCACATTGGACGACGACTGGAACGACGCAAACAATCACTTACGTGGAGCTGAAAGTAACAGACCTGTATGCGCCGAGCACAGAAAGCTTGTCACATCGGTACGTCCGCTCAGATTGTCGCTATAACTGACGCAAGTATAGTGATTGTTAAAGCGGCAATCATATTAGTACGTTTCATCATTGCGCGTTTATCGGTGTGCGTGGCGTGCGTATAAATTATATATATATATATATATATATATATATATATATATATATGGTGTGTTGGTGTGTGTGTGTGTGTGTGTGTGTGTGTGCTGTGTGTGTGTGTGTGTGTGTGTGTGTGGTGTGTGTGTGTGTGTGTGTGTGTGTGTGTGTGTGTGTGGCATGTGTGTCAGGGCATGTACAGGAGAGGGTCCAGGGGGTCGCGGACCCCCCCTGCTCGCGCAGCAAACGCACACTAAGGGTCTAATTTCAAAAGATTCCTGGGAGGGCCCCCAGACACCCGCCTTCGCGTGCCTCGCCAAGTTGGTTACGGTTTAGACCCCCACCCCTGGTAAAAATCTGTACATGCCCCTGCGTCGTGTGTGTGTGTGTGTGTGTGTGTTGTGTGTGTTGTGTGTGTCTGTGTGTTTCTGTGTGTCTGTGGTTGCTTGCGTGTAATGTGTGGCGTGTGTGTATGTGTGCGTGCGTTGCGTGTGTGTGTGTGTGTGTGTGTGTGTGTGTTTCTGTGTGTCTGTGTTTGCGTGTATGTGTGCGTGTGTGTATGTGTGCGTGCGTGCGTGTATGTGTGTTATGTAAGGTGTGTGTGTCTGTGCGTGTGTGTTTCTATGTTCTGTGTGTCTGTGTGCGCATGTGTGTATGTGTGTGTGCGTGCATGCGTGTATGTGTGTGTGTGTGTGTGTGTGTGTGCGCGCGCGCGGTGTCTGATGTGTGTGTAATGTGTTGTATGTGGTGTGTGTGTGTGTGTGTGTGGTGTGTGTGTGTGTGTGTGTGTGTGTGTGTGCGTGTGTGTACGCGCGCGCGCGTATCAGTAATTGTTACACTACAGTCAAATTACGATTTGCAATAACTTCAGTAATTGTGGTATTATACTTCTTATTGATAAGAAGTGGCATTGACTTTTCAAATAAACGTGGATATTTATTAGAGAATTAGCGCACATCTAATGGTATTTACAGACAGGAAGTGAATCTCGAGGTTTCTGCCTGAGTAACAGTGAATGCATGCTGGGCGACTCGTTAACCCGATGTCACTGTTTGTAATGGTACGATGAGACTGTTGTGTAGAGGATACCCTAGAATCTGCAACCTTTACACGCACTCCTGTGTTTGCACCCGTATGTCACCGACCAGGAGTGCAAAGATGCAGCGACACTCAACGTGACATGCGAAAGTTGTAAGTAATATATTAAGAACATATTTATTTACGAGGAGAAATACCGTTTCGTCGCCGATGGGCCAGATTACTGTCATGATATCAATTTTATTCATGAGACGCCAAAATTTTATAATGCATCCACATTAACGCAACGAATATCTCCTAAAAGTACAACATTTAAATTTTAAGCGTATTAATTTTTCCTCATTTGTCATAGATAAAATAAGATGTTTGCGTGAATAAAGTGTGAATGATTTTGATAATAAATCTAATCGAATTATGTGTACAGGAGAAACATAACTGCACTGTGTTGTGTACGTGTGCAGGTAATCCATAATTACACTGTGTTGTGCACGTGTGCAGGTAATCCATAATTACACTGTGTTGTGCACGTGTGCAGGTGGAGGATAACTGCACTGTGATGGTGAAAACAGCACATGCTGCCGGCGCTTGTGAATGAAAGAATAATACGAGACGAACGAAAGGGAAAGGTAGCAGAAAATACGAATTTAGCCCGATATTTTATTTGCTTCTATAAGATTTTCAGTTTATGATCAATGTTAGTTTGAATAAGGAAGGTTATTTAAATATTGTTATCACGTGTGTTGCACATTATCTCTACTTGTGCTATCTGAAATATTATGGAAAAATCGTCGTAATATTCTCCATAAAACCAATCTCGCCAAAATCAGTTCGATGCAATGTATGCTATCTATTTGCTTCTGTAAGATTTCTAGTTAATGATAAATGTTTGTTTGAATAAGGAAGTTATTTTGACATATTGTTATCACGTGTGTCGCACATTATCTCTACTTATGCTATCTGAAATATTATGAAAATTCGTCTTTGCAATTCGCACTTCTGTCGTAATATTATCCATAAAACAAATCTCGCCAAAATCAGTTCGATGCAATGTATGCTATCGCTATTTGGTGACAACCTTCCACAATATTAGGATCCCTTTATATTATTTTCCGTGTGTTATTTGCGTATCTATTTCGATCAATTATTTTATGCTATTTACTCTTTGAAGTCAAAATACTGTTGTTCGTTTAACACTTTTTGTAACCATCATAATTATTAAATCATTTTACACGTTACTTTACATTTGCTTTGAATTTTCATGTGTGTATGTGTGTGTGTGGGGGGGGGTTGGCGTGTGCATGTGTGTGTATGTGTAAGTGAGTGTGTGCGTGTGCGTGTGCGTAGGCGTGAGCGTGTGCGTGTGTACGTGTGCGCTCTGTGCGTGCGTGCATGTCCCTGTGTACGTATGCGTGCGTGTATGTGCGGAGAAACATAACTGCACTGTGTTGTATACGTGTGCATGCAGGTGAAACATAACTAACTGCACTGTGTTGTGTACGTGTGCAGGTGGAGGATAACTGCACTGTGATGGTGAAAACAGGACATGCTACCGGCGCTTGTGGATGAAAGGATAATACGAGACGAACGAAAGGAAAAGGTAGCAGAAAATACGAATTTAGCCCGATATTTTATTTGCTTCTGTAAGATTTCTAGTTTAAGATAAATGTTAGTTTGAATAAGGAAGTTTTTGTTACATATTGTTATCACGTGTGTTGAACATTATCTCTACTTATGCTATCTGAAATATTATGCAAAATCGTCGTAATATTCTCCATAATCTCGCCAAAATCTGGTCGATGCAATGTATGCTATCGCTATTTGGTGACAACCTTCCACAATATTAGGATCCCTTATATTATTTTCTTGCGTTATTTGCGTATCTATTTCGATCAATTATTTTATGCTGTTTACTCTTTGAAGTCAAAATACTGTTGTTTGTTTAAGTTTAAATCGCAACATATTAAATAGCTGTTCTGGTCATTGCGTCGTTTATGCGGTGTGCGTGGCGTGCGTATATTAATATATTATATATTATTATTATAAATATATATATATTATGTGTTGTGTATGTGAGTGTGTCTGTGTTGGTGTGTGTGGTGTTTTGTTGCCGTTTGTATGTTGCGTGCGTCTGCGTGGTGATGTTGAGTGTGCTGTGTGTGTGTGTGGTTGTGTGGTGTGTGTGTGTGGTGTGTGTGTGTGTGTGCGATTGGTGTGTGTTGTGTGCTGTGTGTCTGGTTTGCGTGTAGTGTGTGCGTGTGTTGTTATGTGCGGCGTGCGTGTGATGTTGTGTTGTGTGCGTGGTGTTGTGTTTTGTGCATGTGTGTGGACGCGGCGCGCAGTATCAGGTAAATTTACATACAGTAAAATTACGATTTGCAATAACTTGTATAATTGTGGTATTATAGCGTTCTTTTGAGAAGTGCATGACTTTCAAATCGAAGCGTGGATATTTATTATAAATTGAGCCTGCAACATCTTTGAATTGTATGTTGCAGGAGATGTTGACCTCGGAGGTTTCCTGCCTGAGTAACAGTGAATGCATGCTGGGTGCACTCGTGTAGCGATGTCACTGTTGTAATGTAATGGACGATGAGACTGTTGTAGAGGATACTCCTAGAATTCTGCAACCTTTACAGCGCACTCCTCCTGTGTTTGAACCGTATGTCACGCGACACAGGAGTGCCAAAGATGCAGCGTCCCGATCACTGTTACAGAGCGAAAGTTGTAAGTGAATATTTAAGACAAATTTTATTTACGGGAAAAAAAACCGTCGTACCGATGCCAATTAACGTCATGATATCAATTGTATCATAGGCTAATAATAGCACAGATAGGTATTACTGGCTCTTGATTGTATTCATGAGACGCCAACATTTTATAATGCATCCACATGATTATGCAACGAAATATCTCCTAAAAGTACAACATTTAAATTTAAGCGTATAATGTTTCCTCATTTTCATAGATAAAATAAGATGTTATGCGAAATTGTGTGAAAGATTTCCGATAATAAATCTAATACGAATTAATGTTACAGGTGACAATCAATAACTGCACTGGGTGTGTATATGTGTAAAATCAGGGTGAAACATAACTGCACTGTTTTGATACGTGTGCAGGTAAACCAATAAACTATAACTGCCACTGTGTGTTACTGGCTGAGGTAAAACATAACTAACTGCACTGTGTGTGTACGTTGCAAGGTGAAATCATAACTAACTGCAGCTGTGTGTGTATGACGTTGTGCAGGTGAAGAACCATAAACTAACCTGCAGCTGCTTGTGCACTGTGTGCAGGTGTAAACATAACATAACTGCACTGTGTTGTCACCTGGCAGGTGAAACATTAATCTTAAGCTGCACTGTGTTGGCACGTGATGCTAGGTGAGAACATTAACTAAACTGAACTGTGTTTGTACTGGGCAGTGAAACAAAATAACTGCAGGCTACGATGTTGGTGACTGTAATACTGCTCACGGCTATGTAAGGGTCTACGGACAATGCCAGAAAGGTAACGTTCCATTGAGTCAACCACTGTTTTACGTTCTTTATATTAGAAATGGAAATGCGTAAAATGTGAATGTATGCGGTTTCAGTAATTATGTTTCGTGATTTTTGCATAAATATTAGCAGCGCTTAATTGTGTGCATCGCTGCTATCATCAATGGGTATTGTCTGAGTAAACAAAATTATACGTCCGTATATTATAATATTTACTAATTTAATCTTTCATCACAGATTCTTGGTGACGCTCAGCATTCCTGCTCACTTAAAATTAACGAGTAGTTGTCATTGTTTTAATTTTTCAAGTTATTTCAATTACAACGTGATCTAATAATTATATGTATATATCTATCCTCAATCCGTCATGCAATAATAAAATACCATTATTATATGTGGGTTCATTATATATTCGTTGTATCTATATTCATCGTTATTCTCTTATAGTGCCAATGTTTGGAGATCCGTGTCACATGGACGACGACTGTGAACGACCAAATCACTTACGTGGAGCTGAGAGTAACAGACCTGTATGCGACCGAGCAAAGAAAGCGTGTCACATCGGTACGTCCGCTCAGATTTGTCGCTTATAACTGGCCAGTATTTTATTCATGCAGTCATACTAGTTACCTATAGCGAATTTCATCGGTGAGGCCGTGAATCATGTCATTTGGAAATGTTCAATAACGGCAAGCTTAGCCATGGTTTGCCTTGTACTTAATAAAAAGCTAGATTAAAGAGGAGGCCTGTTGTCAGAAACATAAATAGTTGTAAATAGTTGTGTCTAGCCTTTGGTCTAATATTTCGTAACTTCTGCACGATAGTTCAGTTAAAATTATGACAATTCAGGTTCATAATGTAATATCTATTTATGATGTTTCTGACAACGGCTCAAGTTCTTTTGCCTTGATGATTTTCTGTTGGGTAAATGTGGTTGATCTCTACTAGTATGAGCGAAAACTATTAGCGGAACGGAGTACATTGACTCCTTTTAAATGAACGTGGATATTTATTAGAGTATGAGTGCACATCCAATTGTATATATATATTTACTTATTTATATCGACAATTTTTCACCTTTCAGTAGAAACTCGATTTCAAATTTTCAGTAGCTATGATAAAAAGAACGCTTTAACTTCGCATTTCGTATTTAGTAAGCTCTTTTATTTACAGGAAGTGACCTCGGAGGTTTCTGCCTGAGTAACAGTGAATGCATGCTGGGTGCACTCGTTAGCGATGTCACTGTTTGTA